TGTGTGTGTGTGTGTGGCCACCCAGAACATTATGCTTGGGCTTGGAATGGTGAGAAAAATAGGAGTTGATAAAGGGCCCTATAAAAACCACATGTTTGGTTGAAATCAGCTCTTGATTTTTCTCGCTTCTTGCAGGACAAGTCATATGTTTAAATAAATGTTGTTTTAACAGTATTTGTGTATATATGTTTGTCTATGTTGTTCTGTGTTATTTCCAAGACTTGGAAGAGGGCCAAACCCTCTCTGATAACAACTATATAAAAAGGCCTTATTTAAAAGTATATGGTTTGCCTGGAGAATGTATAAAATGAAATATTTGTATGTGGAATTATTTATGAAAGCAGTTAGAATGGAAGTGAATGAGTTCATTTGGTGATACCTAAGTGTGTGTGTTAGCCCTCAAGCCCCACCCCCCACCCACTCTCTCCCAGGCTGTGAAAGAAATAATGAACTGTAGATTTTATTGTTGTAAAAGTAATTGAAAAATAATAGTAAGTGTTTGCATGAAAAGAGGTTTATGAAGGAAATGTTGAAAGTGAGGGAGGAGGCGGAGATAGATAGGATGAAGGATGGGTGAGAAGAGTTTTATGGAAAGGCATATGACTGAGAGAAACCTATTTTTTGGTGATGAGTTCCCCCCCCCCTTCTCTTTCGGCTGGCTGTGTTGCTTTACAAGCACAAGAGAGAGGGGGGGGAAAGAGGGGGGAGATGTTCGTTTGAAATTTTTTTTTCCTCTGCTTAGAATTGCTGTTTGAGAAGGGTGGAACAGAGGGGAAATTTGATATCCACTCTTGCTGCGTAGCACAAACGTCACCCATTGGATTATATGGGTGATATTCTAATTGGAACACCAAAGACACAATCTAATTTGGCTTTCAGAAATACAACATGATTTAAGTCTTTATGGAATGCAAGTTGCCCCAGAAAAAATACAGTTGCATTCTTCTTATTTTACCCCAACTTTTCCTCATTTGAGCCTACCCAAAATTGATTTAGTGACCAAACAAAAACAACCTGAACATTTTATTGTCGTTCCATCTGGAGCACTTGCCACAGTGGAACAAATTAATGACATCTTGAATGCTCAATTTGTGGACAGAATTCCACATAGACATTGTCAGTTAACACTTTTTATTTTTCCTCCTACTAAATTACCTACAGGAGTTTTAGCTGTGATAAAAGTACAAAAAATATATTGTATTGAATGACTTTATTTACCCCACACCCCATCCCAAAATGTTTTATTTTTTATCCAGGTGGTTGCTGAAATGATAACCTTAGGACGCACACGAGCTTGCCATCAAAATGGAACTGATTTAATTAATATTGTTTT